GTTTGCCTGGTCCAGTGTGTCCAGGATAAGCGTATCTCCCAGCAGCATGCCGTACACTGGATGGGGTGGGTGGGGAGAAAAAAGGAGTGGTGGGGTGAGGGTGAGTAACATTATGGCAAGAATAAAGTGATTTCCTGGATATGATATAGAACTGGACGATAGAACATAAACATAGATAAATGCACACGCACACACACATATGTACACATAAACACACTCACTAACACACACACACACTATACACTCACAAAACAAACATGAGGCCCTACCCCTCTACTAATTCTTAAGTTAGTAAACACACACACAAACACACTCACAAAACAAATACAAAATACTCACAAACACAGTTTACATACCCCACAAACATACATATAAATCACTCACCAACTCAATAGTTCTACTGATCCTTAGTAAACACATAGGCAAAAACACACACACACACACACACACACACACACACACACACGCACGCTGGCACATGCATACAAGTAAACACACACACACACACAACCCCCCTCCTCTCAATACGTGACAAAATTCAACTGACCCACTTTACAGCTCTCCTCATCTTTAGTAAACTCCAGGAGGTTCCGAGCATACACCGGGTTCCCAAGGGGCTTGTAGTTGGGCAAGAAGCGCCTGTGAGGCAGTGGTCTGGGGAACAAACAATCGTCACATCACACACACAAGGTGAATGGGACGGGATTCACAACATCTCTCTTGTTTGTTTAGTTTTAATAGTTTTAGTAAGAGTTTTACGGCACTTGCAACACAACAAGGTCATATAAGTGCCAAAGAATAGATTATGCATTACAAGAGAGTAAAAAGTAAAGTTGTTCCCTCATCCAATCCGGACATTGGGTATTCCCTTGTTAGAGAGACAACTTCCTGGGCCTGGGCATATTGTGGTAGGGTGTAACATACACAAAAAAGAAGGAGGGGAGAAGAGGACGATAGATGAGTGACAGGAAAGAAGGAGCAAACCACACCAGAGCACCCGCCAACCACCCATGCTCTTGTTTGTTTGAGTAAAGAGTAAAGAGAAGCCCATCAACACACTAATGGTCATCTAATGTTGTGAAAAAGTAAAAGAGACGGACGGAAACAACAGAGGGAAAGTTTTTAAAAAGTAGGACCTACCTACCAGTAGCGCCCTCCAACCACCCGCAACATTTCTCTCTCACTCAAATCAATGCCCTTGTAAGATTGCATTTTACAGTCAATCCAGCTAGTAACCGACCTGTCCAAGACAAGCACTTGTACAAACTACCATTTCCCACTTTGCCCCTTATGTTATTTTCTTATGTTACAATGACACTGTCAATGATGTCCACCTGTCTCAGATATCTTTACTTTTCTCCTCAACCAATGGGCGACTGTCTCAGAGAATTTCAACAGTTTATCGATAAGAGTCTGCTTGCAAAAGAGGCAGTGTCTGAGGTACAACAAAAATGAGATAGTAGGAAATCGTGAACAGATGAGTGATGAGATAAGACCACAATAATGTAGGTTTTCTGAGAACACGCGAGCAGAACAGAGATATGAATGGCAAACCACTATTTCTGCTGTTTTTATTTTTTTGCACAGTTTGTCTTTCACTACTGTTTCAAATTCCTGATTGGAGTCTCCCCGAATCATGTGTTCAAATGCAGTTACATCCCTTAAAAGATTTCATGAATGACATTGAATGATAATTTCTTTCAAAATCACAAATTCAGATCGTGTACGACCCCCCCCCTCTCTCTC